GCTGTCTTGCCGTGCTAGGAGGAGTGATTGACAACCCCCCCCCCCCCCCTACTTTCCAATTTCCGAGATGCGTGATGCAATACCGGTTGCTGAGCCTGCGTGGTGTACGGCGGCCTTACTGAGCGACAAAAATTATTCCTACATCTACGAGGAAGAGGGGTATGACGCAGGGAGGTCTCCTCATTCTCCCGAGAACAGATGAGGCGTTTAGGATTATATTTAAGCCGTGGGGCACACTTTAAGTCAGCAGCGAAAACGAAACTAACTTCTATTTTTTATGTTTCAATGTCGATATTACTTTTGATTTCACTCCTTACGAAAAATGTGTCACACTGCGTAATTATCGAGCTGAATAAAATTGGCCAGGAATTTGTTTTTTTTTTTTTTTTTTTTTTTTTGCGACAGATGTATTCTGTCTAAACACTCACAAATGTGTTTTTTTTTTGTGTGTGTGTGTGTGTGTGTGTGTTTTTTTCGGGGGGGGGGGGGGTGGTTAGTAGAGTTTTTTTTTCTTTTATCGAAAATAATAAACTTCGGTTAATGAGTTTCTGGGTGATTAGATTACCGCCGAATTCAGAAACCTCACTCGAACTACACTCAAACTGAATGGCCCCTCCACTTCCTCGAGGAAGGCGCGAGGGCCGGCGCTGGCCAATCGCGACGGCGGATCCGTCCTCGCGATTGGCCAGCGCCGGCCCTCGGGCCTTCCTCGAGGAAGTGGAGGGGCCATTCAGTTTGAGTGCAGTTTGAGTGAGGTTTCTGAATTCGGCGGTAAGGGTCTCCAAACCCCGGCCCGCGCGTTAAATCTGGCCCGCGATGGTCTCTCGATCGGCCCGTGACTGACCGTGGTCCTTCCAATGAAGCGCGGCCCGCGGCCCGCTCCAAACAAGCTCGCAGCTACCAACGCAAAAACGTAAAGAAAAAAAAAAAAAAAACAAAGACGAGAGAAAACTGCCATCGTAATGGGCGTCCTCTCATCATGTTATTCATTGGACGTTGTCATCATAAGCATCACTATTCTTAGTCCCCTGGTTCGATCATTTATTTATAAGTGATATTGTTTCCTGTAATAGTGATGCAAATATTCTTCTCCTTGCTGATGATGGTAAGCTGTTTCTAAGTGTGAAGTCACTCTTAGAAGTCGCTGTTAGAGCGTGTCTCGAATTGGTGCGTCGAAAACTGCTTGGCACTTAATTCCGAGAAATTTAAACACGTGCTATCTGAAAGCGTGAGTTAATTTCTTTTTCTTACAGTCTTGAAGGCGCCTCGATCCCCCGCGTATCAGTTGTCAGCGATCTTGGTGTTCGTATTGATAGTGCACTGGTTTTCAAAGAACACGTGCCCACAGCCGTTAATGCTGCGCTTAGAGCGTGCTAGGCGGAACTTCTCGATTAGGTCGCCAATTTTCATCGCCCTTTGTTTAAGTCACTAGAGTGGGATCACGGTTACACTTCGGCTCGGTTACCCTGAATTTTTTTTATCTATATCACCGGGCAACTGCAATCGAAAACTTACAGAAACGAATGATAAGAATATTATAGGACCATTATATTGGAAGAGGGTATTTTATCATTATGAAACGTTACTTAGACGATAAGCGTTACATATAGCTTGACACGAGGAGGCAGTTTATAGGTTTTAACATTATTCACAAAGTTGTCCCCGGCCATTTGAATTCAATAAATCTATTACGATACATAGACGTCTTTGTTCCGTCAAGGGTCAGTCGAAATTTATCAACGTTTTATCCATCTTGCAAGTCTCCTGTATTTCCTTTGTCGCCGATTCAGTTGACCTTCAATGAGAAACAGCATTTGGATATTTTCATGTGCCTTGGGGAGTACCTTGCTTGTTCGCGAATGGATGTCTATCGCCTAAATAGGGCCAGAAGGTTTGTGTTGTGCTGTGTTGTTTCAGGAATCTATGGCTGTTCTTACTAAATTACGTGCACAGCTTTGAAGATAGAAAATTGATTTTGTTAGCACAAAAAATAAAGAATTATTATAATTATTATATTATTTTATCTGGGTAACTATCAGTGTTGGGTGAAGTGCAGCTAAAAAGTACTTGAAGTAAAGTACAAACCAAATGCGAGGTTATATGTACTCCGAGTAAAGTATAGCGAGAAAACGGGGCGCAATGTACTTGAAGTAACATACTTTAAATACAGTGTACTTTCAAGGTTAGTTACAAGTACTTTTTAGCATAATCTTGATGCGCTTTCATTCCCCTGTACACTGTTGTTGTTGCTTTAACTGGTATGCATTGCCCTAGGGTAATTGCGGGCACATCTTATTTTATAAAATGGCGACTAATATTGGATAAAGTCAATTGGCTGAAGATAATTTTACTCTTGCTGACTAAGTATTTAGTACGATCAACTTAAAAAGAACCTTTCTTCTTCTTTTTTTTTTGTACCGGTACTATGGCCGTTTTAATTCCACCCAGAATAATGACCAGACGACGTCTCGAAAGACATCCCGTTTTCAGATAACAATTAATACGCCTTTTCATGTGTTTTAATTTTTTTAGAGCGAGCGAGAAGTAGCCAGAGTTCTAAATGATGCGGGAAAGCCGCTCCAGTACAAGCGGAGCGATGCGTCGTGTGCTCGCATTTTTGGTGAGAGTAGAATATTCATCTCAGTTTATGTTCAGAGTTGACAAAGGCATAATTTTGTTATACAAATCTAACAAAACCAAATTCGGGGAATGTACTTTGAAGTCGGGAGTTGTACTTTCCTCGGAAAGTACCAGAAAAATATAGTTAATCTACAAGTACATAGAAAATGCACTTCAAGTAAGGTACAGGTTAAAAATCATACAATGTAAACCTACAATGTAAAATGTGTAGCGTTTATTGCATATTGTCTTGTCCCCTGTGTGAACATGCCCAAATAATTGGAGGGTTGTGTGGATATTTATTTAGCGTGTAGTTGGTCAGCCCTTTCAAAGTTGCGACGAGTCACTAGCTGTTAATGCGCTGCACATGAGCAAAATGTGAACATGCCAAAGTTTCTATGCGCTTTGGCTGATACCAGACGAGTTTTCTGGGTCCCGATTATTGTGCAATATCATAATTAGCAAAATATTTATTCAAAAATAAAGTATATGTGTTTATCTAACATAGATTCTTTTTTTTTTTTAATTTTCACTTGAAAATTTAATGTAGTATTTATATGCTTATCTAGGATTACACATTTCGTTCTCGCTCATTCATATTCGCTTATTTATTTTCTGGCCCTCGAGACAGCGACAGGTCCCGATCCGGCCCCTTAGCCAAAAAGTTTCAAAAGCAATCCAGATTTTCTAAAATGTCATCATGTGTGAGGAGTTTAGAACACTTCCAAGAAACGCGTAATTCAAAACAACGGTGTTCTGACTATGAAAATCTTAAAAATCCTAAAGCGGAACCAAACACACAAAACAAAAATAATTTTTGAAGGCAGCGCGTAACGAATGGAACAACATATATTACAATCAATATTTATGGCTATCGTATCTTGATAAATATCCTACTACTTTTTTATGTACTGAAAACGGAGATTTTCAATAAAAATAGTTGTGTTCAACAAATGATTTTTGTGATTCTGGCGTTTATTCGCAGCCTTATATATTACCACAATATAATAAAATTAAGATATTTATATTACCTATTGCTTATGATCTAATCTCAAACGCGCGAACCTTTAAAGCTGGTATTTTATCATCACGAGTGCCAAGTGTGGCTTTTTTTTTATTTATTTATTAACGACTTATCAAGTAAAACGGTATAAAATCAACGAAAGAGAGCTAGCTATGACGCAGCCACATAAAACACAATACTAATAGATATAGCAAATGGGAGTGCTGTCAAAGTCTCGACCGCTGACGAGAGGAAAAACTTCCAAATTTGCCACCAATCCTTCTGGATCAAATCCTCTGAAAAACAAACGGCCGGTAGCGTAGTTCTCTTCGAAACAAAATTTACCAGGAAATTTATTTTCCTGAATTTTTACACTCCGTCGTTTTGCCGATTTTAGCTTTTCCAGTTCGAAGTAGACATTTTCAAAAGTCGCCTTCTGCGCGCTGCCATCTTTGTCTGCTGGGCTGTGAAACGCCTTCTGAGCATGCGCTGTAACTCTGCCGTGCTTTATATCAAACGTCGCAAATGCGTCCCCAGCTCAGTGACTAAGCATCTTTCGCCCGGGTGATAAGCGATGCAAAGGTCTATGCACGCTTTCAAGTCTGTTCACTGCATCACGTATCGTTAGCATTGGACAACTGGTGAAGCAGAAAGGTTCACTTCCATACAGGCTGCAGCACAACGAACGGAGAAACCGGGCAACTCTCGCTAAAGCAGTTCCCGCTCCCACCACGAGAGGGCGAGCAACGAGCTGGAGATGCGAATACACAAAACTACGGCACACACTCCCCTGTAACACCCTTTGAAAAGTTTAAACTCCCTAGTGTAGTATCCTGGGTTTACCGAATGAGAAGGTTGAGTAGACCCCTGGTTGTGGGTGCTCGTGCACGCTCTGATAAGATTCGTTTTTTTCTTCTGTGATGGTGATAACGTTGATAGTCTAATAATGGTCCCCCCGTAGACACATAAGTCATTATAAAACTTCAACAGTCTTAGGCCGGTTCTCACATGCGGCGAAGCGCTGATGTAGCGCTGCTCATGTGTCGCCAGCTACTCATCGTCTGCCATGAGCAACAGTTTTGACGGTGCGCGATACAAAGTTGGTGAACGCTCCCGTCAGCACGCGCTTAGCGTGAGGTCAGCGCTATGCTTGTACCGCTCCGCTGCATGTGTGAAGAGGCCTTTATTATACCCACAGAGAAAGAACAACAGCACGTCCTTAATAACAAAGTTTTTAGTTTATATTTTTATTTACGCATTCAACAGGGCCTAAACCATTGTATCAATTTACTGTTAATCCGTGCTAATATGAATGAAATGTTTCACACCAGTTTGTCTGCTTTTTGAGTATTCCGCGTTGGAAACTTTCCACGGATTGTTTATGGTACTGCATCGGTCCGATCGTGTTATTTATTATTTACTAGTTACAACACAACACGTACAACCAGCAAAAGCGACATCCAGAGGACGTAGTGAAAAAGCCGGCGATCCGGGTTCAGCTGCTATTGACCCTTCAGAAACGGTCGTGGACGTGTTCATTTTTGAGGTTCTGGCTGCTCCTGGCACTCCACACGGCCGAAGCACCAGGGAGGCATAGCCGACCGTCTGCGTGCGTCACACAAGCGGGACGCTGGCCAGGCTGGAGATTCCACACACGTTGTTGGCGTCCTTCGCAAGCTTCATGTAACCGTGATCCCCCCACTTTGTGCCCCAGCTGCAAAAAAAAAACAAAAGACGAATTTACAAAAAATAAATAGAAAGAGATTGGCACTTGGTCGGCTGCGATCTACGTAGAGAGCTCGACTAATGACGACTTCGAAAATAGCCGAATACGTAAAAATTAAGCCTGCGAGGTGACAGTGAGCATGATGAGAGCGTGTGGAACTTTATACTCAGTGACGCGGGCTTCATTTATAGAGCTATTTTTGGCATCGTCATTTGTGATACTCCCCCTGTAGGTCGCAATGATTAGCTTTACGGGTGCTCTGCGAAACAATGAACGCGCGGGTATTTCTTTTTTTTTTTTTCTTTTTTGTTGACGCTGAAAAACGAGCAGGAAAAGTCGGCGCCCGCACAAAGAAAGCTCCAACTTTCGCCGAATGTGCACTTGGTGAAATAGCAAGGCGTAGCTTTCATCCTGTAAAATATTTAACCAAGAAAATTGCCAAAGAAAACGGCGGATTTGTTGGCAGACTGCCAAGTCGGCGATGGTCGTAAATTGCGGTGCCATCCCTCTATAGGATCAGCGAGAAGTCAAATAAGTGCGTTGTCTGCTCGATGTGTCTATCGGGAAATGACACAACAAGTTACAGGCATGGCTGTCTTGGTCCCGGGAAAAGTCCGCTGTTGAATCTGGCAAGTTTGTTGGCCTCATTTTTTGCAGAATGGGAGCTACGCCTTGATAATTCAACATGTAAAATGCACCACCTTAGTGAACATTCGGTGCAACTTTGAGCTTTCTGTGCGCCGGCGCCGAGTTTTTTGGCTCGTTTTACTACACCAAGGTCCATTGGAGATACCCTATATATTCTGGTTACGGATCTCTCGAGGGCCTGATCCCACTATAAAATGTTGTAACATAAGAACTGCGGGAGAGACATTGCCCACGACTACCAACGTTTCCTTTAATGAACAGTAGATCCAGGCGCATTGAGCATTATCAGTTTTGTTTTTCTAGGCGTCAGTCTTGAAAAAAAAAAAAAAAAGGGGTGACAGATGTTCTTTTGTTTTTGTGACATCAGGAAAATTCTGTCCGGTACTGATTGCGTAGTGACGTGATTTCTCTTAGATTTGGAGGCGGAGCCTTTCTATGAGTCTTATATGTTACAAGTTTACCACCATGGATGAAAAACGATTTATGGAAGCGCCAGTCTGACAAACATGGACAGGCTTTAGCAAGGCTGAATCATCAGACGGTTTACACACACCATCTGCAAGATGGCGGCGTGCAAACGTCTAGAGGCGTACAAACCACTAATACTTCTTGAAGATTAAAATGCAACGTATTAGCAATCTACTTTACGCCTAAGTGAAACCAATTAGTCACAAAGGAACATGTTCGTGAACAAGTGATGCAGTAGAAAATTGGTCGGAGTGCCAGGAGGTTGCTTCGGTTATGTCGCCTGAGAAAATTGGCGATTTGTTGCGCTAGCGGCGCTACATCATGACTATTTTTTAAAACCAGCTTGCACTTTGTGAAGATATTACACAATACCTGTTCTTAATGAGCCAGTAATTCTGACCCTTCTCCGTTGTTCCGTACCCCACGATGAGCACGCCGTGGTCGACATCGAAATCGCTGCATCCCTGGTCGTCGTAAACACCTTTTCGCGGAGAGCAAAAGAAATTACTTTTAACAGTCGCGTAGGCCTTCCGATGCGATGCCCGACACTCCGCCGCCGCCTTTGCGCATGCATCGTATTGTAATCGGGTATCGTCATCGGGGGCATCGATTGGAGGTATCGGAACGGTCTGCTAAAACTCTCTATTGAAGTTTTCAATTTGGTCTGAGAGGCTCAGACGCTTTACTGGCCATACTAAAACGTGATGTCAGATGCTCTAATATGGGGCAGAATGTGTGCAGTACAGTTTCTTGCCGACAGTTTACAAGAAGTTTGATGGTGTGAAATAAATGCTAATAAAACTCACGTCAGCAAGACGAAAAAAAAGAAAGAAAGAAAAGAAACATGTGCACAAAAGCTAATAGTTTCGGTGTACAAGCGGAAGAAAGAAAACAAAAGAGCTGCCCAGACCTTCGGCGTAGAAGCGGAAGTTGGGTAGTTTGGCGAACACGGCCGCGGACACCGGACCCAGGAAGGCCACGGCTTTCTCTAGGAGCTTCTCGTCGTTTCGGGGTACGATTCTCACGTAGCCGGTCAGAGAGGCGCCGACGTCCTTCCTCTGAAAGCGGCACTTGCCTTGCTGAAACCGAGAGAAGGAGGCACGAACCAGCGATTTAGACACCCCCCAAAGACCGTTAACACACCCCTAGGATGAGTGCCACAACCTCCCCACCCCCAGTAATTTCCTACAAAATATACAAGCCTATAGTGTATTGCAGTACGCACGCACGCACGCACGCACGCACGCACACACATACAAACACACACGAAGCACCTACCAGAAATTTGGGAAATCCGATTTAGGGGGGGGGGGGGGGGGGGGGGGGGGTTGTTTCAATTTGACAATTTTGAATAAGCCCCTAAACCCTGAGCCCTCCACCTTTTCAACTTACCGAGCAGCGAACGCCAGAGAGGAGAGTATGGGAGCAAAGCTAAAATGCCAGTCTCTTCAATAATTATAGCCACCTCGGTGGCTCCGAGGCGAAAGCGTCGGCCTACCGATCCCCATGTGGCGGGTTCGAATCCCGGCCGAGGTGCCCGCAATCTGACGGAGGCTTATTGCGGAGAAGACGCCGTGTAACCGAGCTTTCGGTTGCACGTCAAAAGATCCCCAGGTGGTCGAAATTAATCCCCAGTCCTCCGCTGGAGCGTGCCAGATGCCCGCCGTTGGTTTGGCACGTAAAACCCCAAATTTGACTTCTTCAATAATTATATCAGGCATGAATATGCCAAAAACATTATTTAAGCAGCTGAAGTAATATTTTTGTGACTACATATCGACCTCAAAAAAAAAAAAAATCATTAGTTTACTTGGGTTGATTACGTGCCAGAATTTTTGAGGTTTATAAGTGGAAAGGATGGGGGGCTTCGCGGGAGGGGCTTGTTCTTGCTTGTCCTTCTTTTTTTAACCTGCAACAGGCATAGAAGCGGCCCTCTCTCGTTATGTGACAATCCCCAAACCGATGAAATGTAAGACAGATATTCTTTAGCAAGGAATGTTTCACATGGCTACGGTAACCTGGTGAAAATACGACGCGAAAGCGAAACACAAAACTGTTACGACTGCATTGCGTATATTGGCGCTTCTTCTATCTCGGGTTTCTTATATACTAAAAGTTTAACACCTTAATTGTCACCTTCTTATTAACATAAATCTTGCTTTGCAATGATTCTAAACCATATTTCAATGAAAAAAATTACTACTACGTATTTCTGGGAAGAAAAGTAACCAACATGCAAATAAAGGTATTGAACCTTAGATTAAGTTATATCCTATATTTGAAATCAATTGTGCATGATTAACGGAGTACTTTGATTTTATAATTCGAGAGTACGAAAGTATAAATGCATAGAATCTGTTGTGAATGTAGAATTTATTTTCTTCAGACGTGAGGAGGCAAACGATGAAAGAACAAATGCGCTCCCTTGGCACACGTACCCCTTCCGTTGTTTGTGTTTTATTTTTAAGCTTTTTAGAATTAAATGGAACGAGAATATATGTAAATCAACATTTCCGTCTTTCCCTGCCTTCAGAGAACTCAGAAAGGCACATACAGACAAAAGGATGTTCTTTTGAAACAAACATGGATTAATATACAAAACGCGACTTCGAACTGATTTCCGCAGTTTTCTAAGTCGGGGCAGCGTCGCTTCCACGTCGCTATCCTCTTTGCTGGCTTTTTGTCCTTTAAGGTTAGCAACCCCCGTGTCCTACAGTCACACAGTATCGAAATCGACCTTGTTGACAGGCGATAACAAAAGCTTCTGCAAGTTATCAGACAATACATTTGCCTCTCGCATGTTTACTCTGAGTCACGCGTACGGAGAGCACAGACCTAGGACATTTGGAAGAAACCCAAGACCAAGGAAAACAGCACAAATCACGCTCGACTGCAATGCTTACATGTGGCTTGCAAGTGACGTCATATAGCACCATGCTCCTGATCACTCCTACTTGTTAAGAAGAGTGGTTGTTTGGGCGAGTTGGTTTGACATCTTATACAATCTTGTGCGCAACAAAGACGAGGACAAAAGCAGAGTAGAGGACACAACAAGGCGCTTGTTGCGTCCTCTACTCTGCTTTTGTCCTCGTCTTTGTTGCGCACAAGATTGTATAAGATGTCCTACTTGCTCTTGCCGGGAAAAGCAAATTTTGTGGTGCAAAATGTATGCTGCAAAAGGTACATACTCAGCAGCGTGGCTATCACAATGGAATGTGATCTGACATCAAAGCAAGCTATGTACAGTTTTAGATGCTCTGCCCCACTGAAGGAGTCGTTTCACCAACGCCACAAACCGCACGGCAAACAAGCACAGTCGCGGTTCTTACTTAAATGATTCCTTCGGCTCTCGTGTAGCGTTACGTCGAGCCGAAAGAGTCGTCTAGTCAAAACAAGAACCGGTGCCGACCGAGTTCTTTTTTATGTTATTTTTGTTTAGTACACGAGCTTTTCATGCCAAAAACCCTCTCTTCTACTTTCATGCGGAAAAGACGGAAAATAGTTGAGGCCACGTGTTTCTTTCCAGTGCGCTTCCTAATTGCCAATTTTAGATCTAGCCCTTAGTCCTTACGCATTAGAATGACACCTGTAAAGTACGCCTGCAAACAAAATTGCTATTTCTTTTAACGCAGCAGTTGTTATTGATTGGGTTTCGCAGAGGATGCACAATTGTTCCCTGTAGGGTCGTCGTGGCTGAGAAATTTCTGCGCTAAATTTCACGGGAAAACGTGATCGTTAAAAGTCACGTGACATCACGTGACACCGTGAAATTACGTGACGTCACGCGACACTGTGACGTTACCTGACGTCAAGGTTGGTGTCATTGCGCGCAGTCTGTGTACAACAGACTGTGCAACGCCTCGGCTGTCGACGCAGCCTATTTCCAAAACACGGCAAGCAACCAGGAATATTTTTTGTTAAACATGGAATGCTTTATATGCAACCTGTAGTCCCAAACTTTTGTCGGTTCTTCCGTCCATCCGCCTGTACGTCCGTGCATCTCCCCGTTCAATCTACCAGGGAAATGCGTGAACGTTAATTGACGTCACGTGATACTGTGCCATCGCGTCACGTGACCACATCGTGCGACCTCAAGTCAGGTGACGTGCGACCTCAGGTCAGGTGAACAAATATAGCGCGAAAAACAATAATTATTATCTTCTTCGTTACCCGGAACGATTGCATGATGTTTTTAAGTCAAATTTAAGCGACCTCTCCTTAAATAATGCATTCCACGGATTTTGGAACTTTAAAAATAAATGTCGCTGGTTATTATTATTACTTTTTTAGCTATCGACGGTTTTTGTGATTTCAGGTCAAACGCATCACAGCATCAAATGACTGCGGATGCAAGCGGCGCACCTTCATTTCGTACGGATAGGACTCCTCGGTGTCGATGCCCCCGTTGACGAAGATGTACACGTAGGCCCGGTCCATAAGGCCTCCCGCGCAGCCGTGGTTGTTGTACAACTCGTCCGAGCAGTCCACCAGGTTCTGCTCGCTCAGGGACACCAGTCTGCCGGTCTTCCTCGCGTACTGGCCCTCCAGGGACCCGGTCTGTCTCCAGCGCAGGGAGCAGTCACATCGAGCAAAAAGTCATTTGGCGTACGGGAGAGTCCAGACAGTGCTGGGCCCCACTGGGCGGCTCGTGTGTCTCTCCGCCGTGTGGATGAGAAATTTAGCCAGTGCAGTACGACCTCTATACACCAACACAGCGTTCCCAAACAAGCCCACTTTGCCCACAGCAGGTGTGGGCACTGCGCGTGCGCGGAAACCGAATTCGGGAGGAGTGAAGCGTCCCCGCATGTGCAGTACCGACAGCAGCGTCACCGCAGTAACGTGACGTCAGTGAGTTGAGTGTGTCTATACTCCGTTTTACTCTAGGCCCGACCGAATGCCAACAGTACGATCCGACGGAGCCAAGCAAGCGGCGCCAAAAGTGCGTCGTCACAGCGCTCGTCGTCGTTGTGCGTTTCGAATATCACTCATTAAACAAAAACACGCACAGAGAATGTGCTGCGCGATCCTGCGCTTTGTTTTAATGGGTGTGATTGGTTTAGCCGGTTATAGTAGACGCACTTAGGACAACGAGCGCCGTGACGATGCACTTTTGGTGCCGCTTGATTGGCTTTGTTGGATTGTAGAGTTTTTGCGGTTGGAATTGAAGTGAAACGCATGGATAGCCTGATGTCGTTAGCGCGCGTAACGCAGCGAGGAATGCAGGGTGCAAGTTCGTCTGCTCCTTTTGCAGGAGTTGTGGTGACGTCAAAACGCCGAGCTCTGATTGGCTCTGATTGAAGGATAGTGGGTAGACCTTGAGGCAGCTTGCTTTGAGGCCCATCAGAGCCAATCAGAGCCAATCAGAGCTCGGCACCTTTCTGACGTCACCGCAACCACCGCGCAAGAAGAAGACGATCGACTTGCTCTCCGTATAGGCTCTGCAGCGCGAGCGTTGGTTCCTTGTGCTTCGAGCCGCGGTGCGCCGACGTACTCAGCCACCGGACTATTTTTCAACATTTATTTGGATTTTATGCACGATTATTTACTACGTACATGAGGCTCGATCAAAGGGCAAAGTTTATAATGGTAGTATACACCGCGCGATACATGTTGCGTCAAGGCCAGAAGGAGACTAATTTTGGACAATGACAGACGTGGGACTTTTCTGCATAATCTGCCCTATAAACGAACGTTACTTAGACTTGGCAAGTCTCAATTACACTCTGCATCTTTTCAAGTACTAAGCACGCGTTACCCCACACTAATCACCATGTTCATGAAGTTCACCCTAAGACGTGGTAACTTTCCGTTCGGTGTCGACCCTCTTGGTTTCCCAAAAACTGCAAAACCTTAATAGTGCCAGAGTATCAAGCACGCTATGAGGTCATAAAAATGAAAATATCGAACATTTCGTACCTCAAGTTCGAAATATTTTTTTGCGTTATTTTGAAAACATCTTAGAAGAAGCTTGCACCAACTATATACAGTTCAAAAGCATGCCGGAACCTTTCAGTTATCCTTCAGAGTCTACAGTTCATTGGGGCAGCTTTTTAATGCCTCGTGATTCAAGCCATTGCTTTGGTTGCACTTTTTCATGGCTAACATCTGAAACGTTAAAAATGAGAAGAAAAAGAAAAAAAACACCTATGATGCAATGCCTTTATGGCCTATTACGGAGAGTTTATTAACGTATTTTTTCTAAATTGTGCATGATTTCAGATTCACACGTTCAACACCTGATATACAGCTCTCCACCTTTCATTAAATTTATCAGGTATTCATTTATTTCTCGCAAAGCTTGACTGCCGACTACAGAAAGTGTTACAAGGTAGTATATGATTATTATAGGCAGCTGGCGGAAAGGAGAGGGGGGAGAGAGAAAATTTGAATTGCCCTTCTCTGTTCGCTCTTACTCCTTCAGGGCAGAATTGGGTGTCACAAAAATGTCCGGCAAGAATTCGATACTACCCTACAATTTAGATGCCCTTCTTGATCGAACGGACAATTGATGGCACAGTCAGCTGGAGCTAGTATTCGTGTTATTATATTTATTTCATCCCGCGTGCAGTCTCTGCTTCCCATTATAACATTTCATTGGAGCCCTGTCGCTCTCCTATAATTATTAAAACCGCAAGTCACACTGCAAATACATTGTACGAAAGACAGAGCTTGCCGACACTGTCTGCGACGTGTTTCTTCCTTGTACGATACAATCATGCTAACACTGCCTGGAGACATGATCGTACATGTGTGTGAAGCAAACATGTTTGACACGTGTACGCAAGTAATTCTGTCATTGTGTCTTCAACGAACACCGTGTCTTTTGCATGATGTACGAGCAGCAGAGCAGACGGCAATGGCGAATGAGTTTAGTAGGTACTCGAAACATTTTATTCGCGAGCAAGGCGCGCGCGCCTCCTGTCCGACGACGGAAGGAACACAGCGAGGAACAAGATAACGATGCTGACCTTGCTGCTGGCGCTCAAGTCAGCAACATTAAAGTTGGCGCTGGATAGAGAGATATACCAGCCCAACTAGAATTATAGTTGGGCACGTAGCTCTATCTGGCGAGGACTTCCGGCAGCGTTAGATGTGCCGTGGTCGCGTTCGTGGAGCCCGCTTTTAGAAACCATGGCCTCCGAATGTCCCGCCCAACTTTAACGCAGCGTTCACAAAGCAATCCTTTTGCGACAGAAACTTCGCTGACGCGCCATTGCTAGCCACCAGTCGTGCTCGCTGGCAAGTAATACATCGCAATTATTCGCTAGGCACCAGTTCATGTTTCTGGCGTCACGTAAAAAAGGCGGTGCACTGATTATGAAACACGGTAAAAACAAATGCTTCGCTCTTCAAAAAAAAGCTTTTCTTTTTTGTTTTTTAGATACAGGATTTAACTTCCCTTGACTACCACGCATGTTTGCTTGTGTACACCAGTATGTGTGCCTATCCTCTCTTTATTTTATTTCTTTAATTTTCTTAAATGCATTTAGATTAGGAAACGAGTTGGCATCAAAACTAGTTCCAAGCGATCCGTTTTCACCTAAAAATTAGATAAATTTTCAAAGACGAGTAGCAATATACGAATTAAATAGATAGTAAAAGCGATAAATTCATCGGGCTGTTTCTTTATTTTTTCCTCGTCATAGACTTTAACAATATCGAGGTGACTTCGTTGCGCCGAACATGTCTGTTCATTCCAATATTAGGTATTATATAAAGAGAATGTAAGCAAGGTCTTTGACATGGCCTTCTTCGGAGTTCCCTTGTTGCTCGCGAGCCTCGTCAAGTGCAACAGAATGAACCAGCACCAACGTAGTCTGAAGCAATGCAGCCCACTGCATCCGCCTTGTCGGCGACCACAGGTTGGCCGTCTGTCTCCGAAGCCTCTCTACGTCCATCGAAAGGCGAACTTCACCAGCGTCCATTATCTTCGAAAACGACGAGACTTCCTCGAATTGATAAACGTCACTTGGAACTGTCTGGTGAACGTCATGGTTCGCGTGGTTTTGACAGGGGCAGTGTGCCAGCGCTCTCGGACCAGCGAGGATACACAGGCGCCGACGGCTCTAAGACGACCGTCAACCAACCCGTGGACGCTGACGGATCCTTGCAGGTCGTGCCACGCCGACGCGTGAAAGCTTCAGTCGGCTCGGCCAAAGAGAGCAAGTCACGTGTTGTGGCTTAGCCTCCGAGGAAGAAGGCTCTTTTCGGCTCTCGGCTACAACCTGAGACAACTTGTGAAGAAGTCTCGAAAATCGTGGGAACTGTGTTGGACATCCAAGGTTTCGAATGCACGAAGCTGGCCTCAAGGTACGACACGAGCTGGTCTGTCCTGACTTGTGGCCGGAGGGCCGCCTTTTTCGGCCGTTCTTAGGAAGACTTAGGCTGGACGATGCGCGTAGCGCTCCGAAGCTTAAACCAAAGCAAGGGGAAGAACTTATCGCCCTTTTAGACTGCTAAACCTTAATGCACGAAGTGCTGCCAATAAGGCGGTGGAGCTGGAAGGTGCTCCTTTGGCATTTGATCCTTATGTTGTAATTATAACAGAAACTTGGTTGCATAGTCAAATAACTGATAGTAGTGTTTTCCCTGATGGTTTTAAAGTTTTCAGGCGTGAACGCGGTTCGAGAGGGGGAGGGGTCGCTCTTCTGGTCAAGGAGACACTTCAGTGCACGTCCATTGAACACAACTATGACTGTGAAATGGTTTGGGCTACTATATGCTTTGGTAGCCAGTTAATGCTTGTAGGAGGAATGTACAGATGTCCCCAAGCTATAGTATCGATGTTTTACGTAGTTTATTTTAGTTTCTTCATTTCAAAACTAAGCAATTTTCACGAGTAGTATTGGCCAATGATTTCAACTTGCCAGACGTAGACTGGGACCGCGTGATGCCCAAAGGGAGCTGTGAACATTCAAGACTGCTTGTTGATATTGCTTTTAGTAATAATTTAAGCCAGGTGGTCAAATGTCCCACACGGGTGTCAAACGGTTGCGAGTCATTACTTGATCTTGCGTTTTTATCTGAGGTCGTTGCCAGAAGTGTTCTTGATGTATTAATCGCGGATTGCATATCTGACCACGCAATAGTTGTGTGTGACTTATCGGCTCCGCATTATTCGTACGAAGTGCCCGAGGTTAAACGTTATCGTGATTTCACCCTGGCAAGCGATGACGATATTCTCGACTTCTTGGAAGTTGCTCTTGACAGATTTACTGTTTTTTACGAGGAAAACGAGGAGTCGGTAGATAAGCTTTGGCTTTTTTTCAAGCAGGTTGTCTTTACATGTATTGAGAAGTTTGTTCCAGAGCGTTCAACAAAAAGAAAGAAAAACAATCCATGGGTGACGCGAGATATCTTACATCTAAAACGAAAAATAAATCGATTAGAAAGGTTCCAACAAAGTTTAAAATTTAAGCTTCCACATCTACGTCAAGAGTTACGAACCTTAGTGCGCACATCTAAATATCGTTATTTTAATGTCACAACGCACAACTTCCTAAAGGAAAACCCAAGAAAGTTTTGGGCGCACTTGACAAATAAGAGTGTGACGATTAAGGAGCTTAGTCATAGCGGAAGGGCGATTGTCGATGAAGAGAGCATCGCAAGCGAGGTCAATTACTTTTTTTCTTCTGTGTAAACAGTCGACAACTCTGTTTTGCCGTCATTTACTTATAACAATTGTGGGATCGGTGACTTAGTGGTCTCAGTAGAAGGTATTTTCGACAGTCTTTTGCGATTATACATTAGGAAGTCGTGCGGCCCGGACGAAATTCATAATGCTTTTTTACATAAGTATGCTGAATGGTGTTCCAAGTTTCTTTTTTGGATTTACTTTTTCGGTTTAAAAACGGGTGAGGTGCCACTAGACTGGAAAGTAGCTAACGTACTGCCCATATATAAGAGTGGCGAGAAAAAGAGTGGTTGCAACTATATAGACCAGTGTCGCCAGCAAATTTCTCGAACATTTTATTTTTAAGCATATCATAACTTTCCTAGAATCAGAAACGTTCTTAGTTGATGAACAGCACGAGTTCCGATGAGGATACTCGACAGTGACTCAACTTCTTCACACGATCCAACACTTTGCCTCAGCCATCGACAATGACGGTCAGGTTGACACTATTTTTCTAGATTTCGCTAAGGCGTTTGACAGAGTTTCGCATAGGAAGTTATTACATAAGCTGAAGCAAGTACTTCGCAATGAATGTCTCCTGAGGTGGCTGGATTGTTACCTTACGAACCGTAAACAGTTTGTTTTTGTGTGCAAAGCTGAATCCACCGAGTTACCTGATCTTTCTGGAGTGTCTCAGGGCTCGGTGCTCGGTCCGCTGCTGTTTTTGGTTTTTATAAACGACTTGCGAGTAGATAAGCCCTTTATACAGTGTCTTTCTTTCGCTGATGACTGTGTATTATTTTCCCAGATATCTAGCGTGTCGGGTCAAAAATGTTTAGATGACAGCGTTAAATTTATTTTTTCATGGTGTCAGAAGTGGCAAATGAATTTGAATGTTAAGAAATGTGTGCAAATGACTATAACGCTGAAAAAGGTTCCCCTTTTCTTTTCCTATACCATTGACTCAAACGCTTTAGAAGTAGTTAATGAGTACAAGTACCTAGGTATTACAATCACGTGAAACTCAAGTTGGGCTCATCACATTCGGCAGGTTATTGCAAAACCGTCCAGTAAATTGTGGTCGTTACGAAGGACTATGACCCACTGTTTTTCTGAGACGAAGCTCACGGCGTATAAATCTCTAACCCGACCTCTGCTGGAATATGCTGATATATTATGGGATCCTTATTCACAATCGCATGTTGATCAGTTAGGAAGCATTAAAAAAATCTCTTAGATTCATTCATAATTCATACGGCAAAGATTCACATGTGACACCGTTGTATGCAGCATCCGGTCTAACCGAGTTATCACGTAGAAGGAAATTAAAACGTTTGAAATTTTTGCATAGCATAATATATGATAAAGTTGGTATGAAGTTTGGTAAGTATCTACAGTATAATGATAGCCGTGATACAAGGCAGAAACATGAAAAACTACTCCGTGAGTTCCGTTGCAAGAAAGATGTTTTTAAATATTCATTTTTTCCTCGAACCGTGTGCGAGTGGAATGCGTTGTCCCACAACGTGACAACTATTGTTTCTGCAGCTTCGTTTGCTAGTGCAATCGATGATCTTTTCTTTGTTGCCAATGAATAAGTTACCTGTTTGTTTTATTTTCATGCCTGTATGTACGCGCACTAGCATTCCCTGGCGTTATCTTTCCACCACCATGCCTTGGCCCTCAAAAGTTGGCCGGCAGTATTCTCAAATAAATAAATAAATAAAAATTTTGATATTTTCCTCATAAGGTGTGTGTGTGTGTGTGTGGGGGGGGGGGGGGGGGGGGCGTGTGTTTTAAGTTTTAAACCACCACCACATCTTGTAGCACGCATGGAACGAAAGCTATGGCGCTGCAGAAGCTAGGGATCCTGAGTTCGATTCCCCTCCCCTGCCCGTTTCGATCTGGATGAGCATCGTAACGGCGTGCAGTCGCGTATTACGAGGCATGTTAAAGAACCCTTGCTAGCAGTGGTACTGCACTGGCAAACTGTCTCATCTATACAGCGGAGAGTCCAGGCGCAAAAATTGGGGCCGACAAACTTCCCGCTGTCTAAACAAAGAGCACAGCAAAACTAGAACTTTATTTTACGCACAAGAGGTAGTTGCAGAAATGAATATCAATGAACAGAAACACGAGGGTCACTCACAGTGCTGAAGGCCCAGCAAGCTCCGCACGTTCCCTGGTCCTTGACTTCCGTCACGAGGGTAGCTCTCCAGTCTACTTCTTTCGGAGGCGGCGTCGGTTGGTGTTCGGGCGGAAGAAATGTCGACCCGTTGGTGCGTTCGTCCCACGCCGGAGAACCCGATTTTACGCCGTTCATCATGCTCACGAATTCGTCCTGGAGCTAAACAAAGATAGAGCTATGGTTGCGTGAACTGTGCGTCAGTCTTTTATCATAGCGCAATCAGTGCATGCGTACGGGGGCTATATTCGTATGTCGCGAGCGTCCGTTGCGTGCGTCGCGTGGCACTCTAGACGGCACCATATAGTCACTGACAGAGTGAGAACGGCAGGACGCGCCTTTCGAATGCCCAGCCTCCAGCACGCACTCCCTGCCTTCCGCCGTGCTTTGGCTGCGCGCGCGCGCTCGAGGTGCACGAGGCGCCGAAGAATTGTAGAGTGTGAGAAGCTGGCACTGAAGGCGGGAGAACTGAAGCTCCTTCCTGCCGTTTTCGCCGTTTTCAGTGATTATAGAGTTGGCCAAGTGCAAAAAAAACCTTTCGTAAACAACGACAACGGGAGTCAGAATAAAAGAACGAGAGGGACGCTGTGGCGCTTCGAAAAGACTTAGCCGTCTGCCAAAAAGCGTTCGGAAACTACGCGAAAAAGAAACGGTAGAAAAAAAGGACGAGGCGACGTTTTGAAAAGAGACGGCGGCTCATGCCAGGAAGGCCGACACTGGACTTATGCGTCCGCTGCGTTGCTCATATGACGCAATTCTGAATGCGACAGTTTGATTCGATAGATCAAAATGCAGCTGCATTTTATGTGTGTGTGTTATTTAGCACGCTCCGATTTCGAACAAACCACGCTTTCTACCCTGGCTCTCAGGGTAAAAGATACTCCATAATGAAAGACCTGAGACTGGGTACAGATAGAAAACGGAAAAGCACGCACACCGCTCAAAACACAGCTACTGATTTTATTTCACGTCGCCACTTTTATACCATCGTCGACCTTCCCCGGTGGATACAAACCACCAATAGAGGATGCGAAATGAAATCAGTAACTGTGCCTGTGTGCTTGTCCGTTTTTATCTGTTCCCAGTCTCGGGTTTTTCTTAATTAAATTAGTTCGCCAGCATGCCCACGTTTTTCCACTTTAAAAGATTAGATTAGCTAACATGGTACGTATATTAGATTAGCTAACAAGGTGATGGTCCAGCCATTCAAGAGAACATTTACCATGTCATCCACTGGCATGTTTTATTGTTTCAATCAACAAAAGTCGGGCATGTAATTAATCACAATCTGGTGTTCTTCGTTTATATCGTTCTATAATTGTAATAAAATTATTCGTTTCCTCAGCCTTTTCCGGTATTTTCGGACTGAAATGGGGGATCAGGCGCATTCAATTTTTGTATACCGAGTAATAGGAAGAAAAAAAATAATTTGAGCACCTGCAGCCTTTTTTAATTCAGCGGGACCTAATTTTGCGGATCGAAAGCTTCCCACTTACTTTAACTTTCCAGTATATCTCGAGAGCTTATGATTCAAAGCGGAAGCAAACACTTACCAAGTCGCCGTAGCCATTCATCTTGAGAGAGAAAGACACCAGCCCCTTGGCATACTTTTCGTTGTGACGGGCAATCATGTATCTGTTTTCGAAGAATATCTTCTTTCGTAGCGTCTCTTCTATCGGACTGCTGTAATTCTTTCCTGCAATGTCAATTCGTGAGCGCGTGGATTGGGCAACTCCAAAAGTAGAGCCTCATTTTTTTTTTTTTTTTTTGTCTACTCAACTTACCGTGCATTGCTTTAAATTCTAGCCATTGCGACCGAGCCCACTCCTCGTATGAGACGGCGTTCAGGTGACAAATGAAGCTAAGTAAGAGACACGCACATAGCCAAATGGTGCTCATTTTGAACCAGTTTCAAGAATTCTGAAAATATAATACAGCTCATTGAAGCCAGCACTTTCTATCAAAGTTATTTTGTAATAGCATTGATCAATTAAAAAAATATATATGTAAGTCATTGGAGCTGTTAACGGACAAAAGAGCACTGAAACGTAAAGAATATGCTACTCATCAAAGTCAGCATCATATACACTCTGCATAAAGGTTACTTTGAAACAGCTTTTCTGAAATTACGAGATTATATTATCTATAGGAGCAATCGACAACAGCAGAAAAAAGAAACTTCAAATTCTAGTTAATATTTCGCACTTCCTATAAAAATATATTTTGGAAATATATTTAATTTAAAACAGAACTATAGATATTACTTATGACGACTGTCAGAAGCAGAACTTCAAAACGCAAAGAATAAAACAATTGCAATAAAGTAAACTTAGAATCTAAAGAATAAAACGTGGAGGACAAGCACAGGGACAACCTCGTTCTTTCAAAGTGTCCTGTGCTTGTCCTCCGCGTTTTATTCTTTCGATTTTATATATTCGTGTTCAACTCGCCCACTTTTACCAGTCCAATAAAGTAAATCAGCGGTCGGCGTTCCACGTTAAGTTAAACGTGCATGGCTTGTCCCTTATAGCAAACCTTCGCAGAAAACACCTTTCGATATTATGAAGAACGCTTTTGTAATCTAAAGTCATACCGAGAGCTTAACAAGCATCTGGGCGTGGCGAATCGCGAGCATCTTAGCATCGATCCGCAGCCAATCAGGTTGCTGCATCGGCCCATTAGAACATCGAACAACCAATCACGAAGCAAGGAGCATAAACCTAATAAGCCATACCCTGCTTCTTGTTGTTGTTGTTGTTGTTTTTTTTATGCTGTCGGGAATAATAATATTAGCTTCGTGCTCCCGGATTCGCATTTCCAAAATATTACCCAGCAAGCCGGCCGAGTAAGCAAGACAGTGCACTCACCCACTGCCTGAAGAGCAAGAAGATTGGTGTCGACGATGCCGTCGTTTTTATAGTGGGCCGGTTTTCGGATGATCTCTGCAGGGTTCCCACCAGTTGAGACTGCATTCTTGACGTGTTTGCTTTAAACTGACGTGGGATCGCCCATCGATAGATACCCAGGCGTGGTGCTTCTTGTCTCGGAAAAAGCACGTGCTTCTTTGGAGTCATCGATAACACTGGGAGGGGGCCGAATGGGGCCTCAAATCTTGTCTGCAAACTTGCACTCTGTTTAGTTAGATAGTGACGCGTCGCATGTCGTCCCCATGGCTCGGCGAGCGAAACGTAGACCACTAAGTCAAAGGGGTACGGGAATTAAATTATAGCTCTTATTTCTTTGTTTAGCCAGAAACGTGGGTTGTGTCAACACCTTATAACACCAGTCTTCCGCTCGTAAACGCACGAAAACTAATTTTAAAACGAATAAAAAGATTTCTCAATAGCACCTGGCAGTTGGGAGACCGATGTAGTTATGACTTTGGAATCCTTCCGCCCCAGCGCCATTCATGGAAGTACAGCGCAAATGCATAGACAGCTCAGGATTGAACGGAATCGCGAAGCTTGGCGCAGCAATTCCCCAGTGCTTCCGCAAATTGCATTCCCCACCACCAAGATCGCCGTTCTTAGCAGACGATAGGTAGGAGGACCTTGATCTCCGAATGCCTGGAATCATTGCCAGGCCAACCAAACCACCGTGCCCCACCCCCCGGCCCGCGCGGACGCGCTGTGAATAACGGGCTCAAATATGGCACCCAGTGAATACCTTATATGTACCTTACATACATAGCTTGCAGGTTTCGCCAGTGCTAGGTACCGACGGTTATTTCTACTTACTGGTCCCCTCCAGCTCCTACTTCTGCGGTGTGAAATTAACACCCTACCACGATGAGCCGAACGCTCACGGCACATAAAATACCGGCATGGCCGCGAATGACGTTACGGACAATCTACGTATAAGCCGAGAAGCGTAAAGTCCTCGGATATTACTAAAAGGCGAGATTGTCACACGTTGACGCCACCAAGGGGCAATGCCCGTAACTACAGTACCCTTGTCCTCGCAGAGGCACCTGACGTCACGAGCGTAGAGAGGTCGTAGCTACGTCATTTCGTTTCCGTGCCCCTTTAAAACTCCACGTCGATCACATTCTGTCGAGTGAGCCTATTCGGCGGAAGTCGCTCATCGCTGCTTTGAACCACAAGAACGGTCAAGACCCAAAACTCGTCAAAGTCGACACCAAGCACTCGGTTTGAGATGCCAGACAGGCGTCAACCACGTCCCGCCTTAGAACATATTTTACGCTGGGGTAATACCAAAAAACGACGAAACAACTTTTCGGCCACACGCGCTCAGATTATCAAACCGTTCGACACCAGTCCAGGGTTCATTCAAAAGCGAAAAGCGCCAATGTGTTTTGTTGTTGCTGTTGCTGTTGTTGTTGTTTTGGGGGAGATTAGGATGTAAAGAATAGTAACTTGCGTTGGGGTTCTGCCAACTCGGGGACTAAGTTGGTAGCCGCTAGAAAAAACAACGACATTTATTAATTAGTTTGTTGATCAACTAAAACGTTTCAATTATTTTTGTTTGTTTAAATTTTTGTGGCCATTATGTAGATGGAAAATTAACGCTCGACCTCATGATGGTCTAGCCGTGACATGAAGTGAGGATTAAAACAGTCCTAGTAGGCGCTACGGGGCGAGACACGTCATCCTCGTGGAAGGCTTCAAATCAAAACTAAGCGAACAAAGAGCGACCGTGTCGTCAATCCCTCCGCTCTGCGCTTGCAGTTCGAAGCCCGAACCTACGCCATTATCCTATGAGTAAACCAGACTTGAGCCTATCTCAAATACTCTACTCAAGATACTGTATTTCAAATACTTTTTGAAGTATCTTGGTATCTCGCAAATACTTTTGATCGAGAGCATTTTATACTCTATCTTAATTACATTTCTGAGTATCTTGTACTCATTTTCTCAAATAGATTTTTGATATTCCGCCATTTTCTAATTTTTTCGGTATGAAGTGGCGTGGGCATGGCACGAGCAAACCTGAACATTCTTTCGAGCAACCAAATCCTGGTGCTGGCTCCGATTAGCTACGGTGACTTTGACTGAGCTTGTGAAAACATCGCTTTTTTACCGATTTAGATTCATATTTCAGCCCAAAGTTCGCGCAATGAAAGTTTTCCGCTCGCCTTCCCAAAAGCGCCTTTTGTTTCCTAGAGTTTCCCCAAAAAATCCTCAAACAAAAGGGGTGGTTTTACGGAAGTAAAGAGTGCCACACTGGGGCTCAACGCAGGCCGGGAAACGACCTACAACAACAATGCAAACTTGCGCTTCAAAAAAAAAAAAAAAAAAAAAAGAAAATAGACGAAATTGAGAAGTGGACACAAAAATAAGACTTTTTTTTGTTTGTTGTATATTTGACAGCGCTACTGCAAAACGTCGAGGTTTTTTTTTTTTTTTTTTGTCGTCAGTTTGGCACTGTTTTCTGTCGCGAACACTGAATGTAAACGATAATTGTTAAGCAGAGAACAGGAAAGGAAATGAATTATGAGCTGGATGACCATTCAAAATGCCAACAAAGCGTCCCCTAACGTTGAGTGCCTTTCTGAACGCAACCTGCTTGAAGGTGCGACCACTGCCGTGGCTATTATGTAGGTTCTTTTTGTTATCCATTCACTGATATCTGTATCCCAAGTCTGTTTATAGTGAATTCCCCATATAGGGAGTATGCATTGTAGTTAAACGATGCGTCTAAGGTGCGCCACCGGACGTGATATTCAGCGATGTCACTATTTGCGAGGCGCTTTATCCCGTTTGTTGTCCCCACACCTCGGTGTCTACCCAACACAAGGCCGGTGCACGTGCCCACGGGCCTTGTGGGAATGTCCATGTCATGTTCTTCAATAGAGAACGGGGCATAGTGTAATGTAAAAATACTAACAATAAAAGAAGTGACGTTAAGTGCCGGATCTCTCCCGAAAGCAGTCGTCAGAGGATCCGAGCTTGTTACACTTCGGCTTTTGTGCTGAGCTGGCACCGTGCATGCTGCATTTTTTATGCAGGCCGGAGTGGTAACAAAAGAGCCCCTCCTCCCCCTCACCGGAGAACACGAGCTCCAGCCGAACACGCTGACGCCGCATTCGGTCACGTCAGCCGAGCGCTGAACCATTGTATTTGTTGTCCCCATCCGTGTAGTTCTAAAGTTAACCGCTTGGAACGCCACGGTCTCATCTCCTCCCCAAAAGCGACCTTTCTTTTCGTCCCAGAGATGTTTTGTAGCATTATCAGTGATATTGCCACACGCGTTGCAGAGCGAATGCGTGGCCGAATGGTTGCCGCGCTTGGCTCTCCAGGGAGCGATTCCAGGGAGCGGACTCCTCTTTTTATTTATTCTTTCAACTTGACATTCTCGCAAGTTCGAGAACCTTGTCGTCTGATCGAGTTACGAATTTTCTACGCGCCGCGAGCGTTCTATGCCGAATGTTCCAGTAATGCACGCGGGTACAAAATGTGGAGCGTGGTGGTCCAAAGTCAGTCTCACCCCAGCGCTCGATCCTGCTATTTCGCCGACATCAACGCCTGCAACGCTAGTCTTCTTTATTTTGTTTTGGGCACAAGTTCGCCCCATTTTTCAGTTATTCGCCGCCTCATCATTTTTCATTCGTGGCAATATCTTGCTTATAGTACGACTGCATAAAATAACCGTACGACGCTTTTTTTTCGTTTTGTGTCGTTGCGGGCTAATAAACCATTCTGGTAAACCAGATTTGCGCAGCTGTATAATTGTCGTTGTCAATGGCGTCGATACAATGCGGAAGTATCTTCTAAAGCAATCGAATTACATTTCTAAGTATTTGTACTCTGCTCAAGATACTTTACAGTGAAAGTAACTTGAGTAGTATCTCAAATGCTTTATGAAGCAGGTATTTAGTAACTTAACTTAAATACCTTTATTGAGTATTTTGTCCAACACTGGAGTGAACAACGTCCCATTCCCTGGAGAAGAAAAAAACA